TTTTTTTTAATCTTAAAAAACAAATGTGTATAAATGAGATATTCGGGATACAGTAAATCTGTGTGATACTACTTTAAAAACAGTAAAATCAAATCTTTGTTTAATGCTGGTATTCAATTTTATATGAAGTCTGTTTTATTTAGGTTTCAGGGATACTGACTAAGCTCACATTTTCATAATAAGGATTTACTGAATTTCTAAATTGCTATTAAACTGTGATTTTAAAAACCACATGCTAAAGAATATTTATTTCTCAAAACATTTTATTATCACAACCTGGTTAAAATATTAAAACACACAATAGAATTCCCCTACATCATTATTTTTTCTACTCTTAAAAATCATAACCAAATTAAAGAGGAAGATAATTACCTTAAATGCCAAATACCAATCATTCTCCTTTGAGGCCTTATTTCCAGCTCTATTCTTATAAACTTCAACTCTATACTGTCGAACTAGAAGAAGATCTTTTACAAAAGATTCAAAATTCATTTTACTAAGCACAACACTTTCCAGAGTCTTTGTTCCTAAAGAAAAATATTAAAAATACATGTTACAGATTTGAGGATTTAAAGTAGTAAGTGTTCAAGTACTCAAAACAATGGCTCCCCTGAAGCTAAATTCTTCTCTCAGTAATTCATTCCTTCAATAAACTATTTATCAAGAACTTATTACTCGTCCCAGTTGAAGGGTATAAAAAGGTGAATAGATGTAGCACCCCACTCGGCCCCCTTCTGTGGAACCTACACATCAAAATAAAAAATTAAGAAGTTACAAAGATAAAAGAATGAATATATACATATATAGCTAAACTTACTTGTCCTTTCTTATAATTAGTTTCTCAGAAGTCTGAATAAAAGTCTTGTAACTATATTAGTACTTGTACGGAATTAAACTTTTTCCAAAAAATCCATAAAAATGAATTAGTCATTATTCACTGCAAAATATTCTAGGCAACACAGATCAAAATTCAAAGGTTCAAAAAAGTACAGCAAAGGAGACTTCCCTTTCACCAATAGCCTACACATCCAATTCACCAGCCAAGTGCTATCAAGTTTATAAAATATATTCCCAAACACAAGCTGTGCACACAAGCATTACTTTGTTCCTCTCTTATATCAGTAAGTGCATACTACAAACACTGTTCTATATCTTGGCTTTTTTTAATTTTAATATATTCTGGAGGTTGTTCATCAGTACAATCAGCTCCTTTCTGTTTACAGCTGCAAACATTCCAATGACTCTGAGGATGTTCTATAATTTAGTCTTACTGATGGACATATAGGTTGTTTCCAGTCTCTGCTATTACAATGCTGCATAAATAATCTTGTACATGCTTCACTCTCCAAACATGTGAGTACATCTGTAAGATAAAGCCCCAAAACTGGAAATTATCAAAGAATATGAGTAATTTTGATAAATATTGCCAGACTATTCTCCTTGGTTGGCTGTGGCAATTAATACTATCATCCATAAGTATGAGTGCATCTATTTCCCCTATCCAATCAACAAGAGTTTTAAAACTTCCTGGTCTTTATCTTAGATCACTACTCAACTGGGAACAATCTTGCTTCTCTAGCAGACATTTGCCAATGTCTGGGAACATTTGGGTTGTCACAACTGGGGGACGGAGGAAAGGGGAGTACTAATGGAATCTAATGGTGAGGCAGAGTTGCTGTTAAACATGCACAGGATAGCCCCTTACAACAACAAATTATTCAGTCCAAAATATCAATAGTGCCAAGGTCAAGAACTCTTATTAGATAGGGAAGTGTCCCACCTTAGTTTTGATTTGCAATTATCAATTTCCTACAAAATTAATAAAATCACCCATACCACCAAATGGAATAAAAACTCAGTTTTCATACAGGAGAGGTAATACCAATTATTCATTTAAAGGTAATACTTGGGGGTTCCTGGGTGGCTCAGTCAATTAAGTAGCTGCCTTCAGTTCCGGTCATGATCCCAGGGTCCTGGGATCCAGCCCCACATTGGGCTCTCTGCTCAGCGGGGAGAGCCTGCTTCTCCCTCTCCCCCTGCTTGTGCTCTCGCTTGTTCTCTAATAAATATTTTAAAATAAATAAAAATAAAGGTGATACTTGTAGATTATGCTGACAATTCTGGATCTTATTAAAGATTTAACCTAAGGGGCGTCTGGGTGGCTCAGGTGGTTAAGCATCTGCCTTTGGCTCAGGTCATGATTCCAGGGTCCTGTGATTGAGTCCCACATCGGGCTCCCTGATCAGCAGGGAGTCTGCTTCTCCCCCTCCCTCTGCCTGCTGCTTGGTCTACCTGTGTGAGTGCTCACGTGCTCTCTGTCAAATAAATAAATCTTTGAAAAAAAAAAATAAAAAAAATGTAACCTGAATTTTTTAAAAGATTTTATTTATTTATTTGACAGAAAGAGACACAGTGAGAGAGGGAACACAAGCAGGGGGAGTGGGAGAGGGAGAAGCAGGCTTCCCGCAAAGCAAGGAGCCCGATGCGGGGCTCGATCCCAGGACCCTGGGATCATGACCTGAGCCGAAGGCAGACGTTTAACGACTGAGTCACCCAGGTGCTCCTGTAACCTAAATTTAATAACAGATCATGCCAAGTACACATATCAAACATAAGCAAGCATAAAGATTAATTAAATGACATAAGGCAATTGTTTTGTACAGCGAAGGACAGCTGAGACTTCCAATATCCCTTTCATTAGTTACAAGTACTAGCAAGAATTCCCACTGTCAGACACCCTGAAAAAGGGCTCAATTCTTGCCTAAGGTTCTTCCCTAGAACATTCCTCATTACCTCACCCAGGACTGGCAAACAAATATCTACAGGGACCAGGCAGGTACCAAACAAACAAAGGAAGCCAAAAGAAGAGCAACAACAGAGCTGACATGACAAGTGGCTTCAAAAGAGACCATATGAAGTGGTGGAAACAATGACAAAAGAAGGAAAGCACATCAGGGTAAAGGAGGAATCTAGACTATGTCAGAGAGAGCAGCCACTCAGCTCCAAACCCATTGCTGAACTGCAGGGATATTTACACCCCAAGTTTTCAACTGTGCAGATTTTTCAGAAGCAGCTCAAAATATGAATTTTTTCCCTGAAATCTCCCAATCTTTAAAATACAGGCAATCAGTTCAAACTTAGAGCAAAATACTATGTAGGCCACCAGTTTTCAACTCAGTATGTTTAACAGTCATTTTCTTAAAAACTTTAATAGACTGCTGTTTCTTTAGCTTGCATTTTTTTTTAGCTTTTTTTTATTTTTTTAGCTTGCATTTAGAAAGCAAGTTATATGAAAATTATGTTTACTCTAGAATCCCATTCAACAAGGCCTGTACTCACATTCTCAGAAGCATGTGCGAGACCGAAGGCCTCCAGCCTGCAACAGACTTTTATCTCCCAACTAACACTCACTCGGGATCAGAACCTGAGTGGAATGGTCGGCCCTATCTAAATTATTTCCTGGTTTGGGGGCGCCTGGGTGGTCAGTAGGTTACGCGTCTACTTTCGGCTCGGGTCATGATCCCGGGGTCCTGGGATCAAGCCCCACATCAGGCTCCCTGCTCAGCGGGAAGCCTGCTTCTCCTCTGCCTGCCGCTCCCCCTGCTTGTGCTCTCTCCCTCTGTCAAATAAATAAAATCTTTAAAAATAATTAATAAATAATTTCCTGGTTTTGCCTAGCACTCATCCCATTTTGCCCGAGCCTCTTTTAGTTTTAATACTCAAAGTCCAATGTTCCAGGAGCCCCCTTGGTCCCAAGCAAATCAGAATGACCAGTCACCCTACCAATCCATCCAGTTGAATTCGACATGAGTAACATTATTCATTATAAAGACGTCATAAAAATAAAAATGAAGGGAAAAAAAACTTGCTCAAGAAAAGCAGCAGAGGCACCTGGCTGGCTCAGTCAGTTAAGTTTCCAACTCTTGGTTTTGGCTGAGGCCATGATCTCATGGTTGTGAGATCGAGCCCCAAGCTGGGTTCTGTGTGGAGTCCACTTTAGATTCTCTCTCTCCCTCTGCCCCTTACCCCTGCTAGGGCGGGGTCTAACAAATAAAATCTTTAAAAAAAAAAAGAAAAGAAAAAGAAAAGGAAAGGAAAAGCAGCACACTAGAGTTAATACAAAATCAGAGAAGAATTTCTCCTAAAGGCACTGATAAACACCACTGTATTACCAGCAACTTCCAGTAAACACAAGAGTTCAAAAACACTGTTTCTCAGGGGCACCTGGGTGGCTCAGTCGTTAAGCGTCTACCTTCGGCTCAGGTCATGATCCCAGGGTCCTGGGATCGAGCCCCGCATCGGGCTCCCTGCTCCGCGGGAAGCCTGCTTCTCCCTTTTCCACTCCCCCTGCTTGTGTTCCCTCTCTCGCTGTGTCTCTCTCCATCAAATAAATAAATAAAATCTTTAAAAAAAGAAAACAGGGCGCCTGGGTGGCTCAGCCGTTAAGCGTCTGCCTTCCGCTCAGGTCATGACCCCAGGGTCCTGGGATCGAGCCCCGCATCGGGCTCCCTGCTCCGCGGGAGGCCTGCTTCTCCCTCTCCCGCTCCCCTTGCTTGTGTTCCTTCTCTCGCTCTCTCTCTCTCTGTCAAATAAATCTTTAAAAAAAAAAAAAACAACCCCACTGTTTTTCATATCATCCTTTAAATTAAAAGGCAAAATGTAAAGTCCAACTCAGCAAAAACAAATCTGAGAGGGAAAAAAAAACATTAGTCTGGCAAAATTCTGAAATAGCTCTTAAGTCATTAAACCAGTAGGATGTGCCTGGAGAACTGTCTTGCCAGCACAGGGTTTTTAAAGTACCTGAAATTGAATGCCATCACAGGATGAACAAGCACTCTCAGATCCACAAGGCCCACCACTCCCTCTTATACCCAACTACTTTGCACATCAATGTTATCTACCTGGTTCTAGATAGAAGAATCCAGAGCAATCTGGTCTCTTTAATACTGACGCTTTCAACAACAGGAACACAGATTCATAACAGTGGTGATTTCTTAAGAGTGGGTGGGGTGAAGAGACAAATGAGGTGATTCCCCTCCCTCCATGGCCTCCCCTATCTCCATCGCTAATGTACAATCAGGCTGCCCAGCTGCCAAGGTTATCCTCCAAAGATACTATTTCTCTCAAAGGAGTTTCTGGGACATACTGGGTGGCAGTGCATTAAGTCTTATTTACTGACAAGCACCTAAAGTATAGCTACTCTGTGTTGCTGGTGAAGAGACTGGCATTGTAGGCTTTGTCTAACCAGCTAGGAAGTAAAACTGACCTCCTGGTGTGAAATAAGGGCAACAGGAACAGAAAGCTACCCAGCCTCCACCTGGGGTACAGCAGAAGGAATAGCCTCAGGTTCATACAAGATTCTTCTCTTCAAGAATAATGTGGAGACCCCAACATCATTCACCTGACAACTACCATGTGCCTGCTATATGTGGACGTTGTCCCAGGGGCTAGGGTTCAGAGGCAGACATTAGTTAAAACACAGATCCTGCCCTCTAAGAGCTTTCAGTCTATTGGGATAGACAGGCAATAGGTAGAATAAATGCTGTGTCTAAGGTAAGGAGAAGATCCAAGAGCAGGGAATACCTAAGAGGGGCAGGGCAGCTAACCAGGCAGTCTTAACATGGGAATCAACAAAGGCTTCCAAAGGGAGATGCTTTCTAAGTTGAGTTTTGACAACAAAAGATGCACAAACTAAGTAACTTTCTTTTTCAGTGACTCACATTCCTTATTTATAAATTGGAGCTAGGTACTAACCCATCTCACAGGGCTTTTTTAAAACACTGTGAGCACTAGAAGTTGAAGATTAAAAGTAGCTAAAAAGATTAAGTCTAAATGCGAATAGAATAAGCCAGATAGAGGAAACAGAAAGCTACCTCTGAGAAGACGGGATTGGGATCCAGACCAAAGCAAAAGGCTCATCTCTTCACTGGCACAATAGGGAGGAAAGAATGGGTACAGATGAAATTAAAAAGTATAGGTTCAGGAAATAACCCAAACGTCTGTGAACTGGAAAATGGATAAAACCAAGATATGGTATATCCATACAGTAGAATATTATTTGGCAATAAAAAGGAATAAAGTACTGATAGCAGAGATAAATCTTGAAAAGTGAAAGAAGCCAGTCATGAAAGACCACATATTTTATGATTCCATTTTTTTTTTAATTTTTATTTATTTGAGAGAGCGCACGCATGCACGCATGAGCAGGGGGAGGGGCAGAGGTAGAGGGAGAAGCTTACTTCCCGCTGAGCAGGGAGCCCAATGTGGCACTCGATCCCAAGACCCTGGGATCATGACCTGAGCCGAAGGCAGATGCTTAACAAACTGAGCCACCCAGGCGCCCTTATGATTCCATTTTTATGAAATGTCCAGAATAAGCAAATCTAGAGAGATGGCAAGTTAGTGGTTGCCTAGCATTGGGAGAACTGGGGTGTGTGTGTGTGTGTGTGCGTGTGTGTGTGACTGCTAATGGGTACACGGTTTCTTTTGGGGACAAAAATGTTTTAAAAATTTACTGTGGGGGCACCTGGCTGGCTCAGTCAGTAGAGCATCCATCCAACTCTTGATCTCAGGGTCGAGGTCGAGCCCCATGTTGGGTATAGAGATTACTTAAAAAAATAAATAAAAATAAATAAGATGCACTGTGGTGGGGCATTTGGGTGGCTCAGTCAGTTGAGTGTCCAAATCTTATCTCAGCTCAGGTCTTGATCTCAGGGTCGTTGAGTTCAAGCCCCATGTTGGGCTCCACACCGGGCATGGAGCCTACTTTAAAAAAAAAAAAATGGGGTGCCTGGTGGCTCAGGTCATGATCCTAGAGTCCCGGGATCGAGTCCCACATCAGGCTCCCTGCTGAGGAGGGAGTCTGCTTCTCCCTCTGACCCTCCCCCCTCTCTCATGCTCTCTCGCGCTCATTCTCTCTCAAATAAATAAAATCTTAAAAAAAAAAGATGTACTGTGATGATGGTTGCTTAACTTTGTGAATATACTAAAAACCCCTGAATTATAAAACAAAACACTGAAATGTATACTTTATATGTGTGAATCAAAAATAAATAAATGTGTGAATCATATTGTATGTGAATAATACCTCAACAAACCAGTTATATTTAAAAAAAAAGTATAGGTTTGAGGACAGGAAATTGAGGGAGTTCTAACAATTTCTGCTTTCTATAGTCAGAGACAAGTCTGAATGCTAAAGAATGTTGGAAAGGTCATAGGCTCCTAGATTTGCCTCAAGTGCAAGTGCATGGGATCCTCATCAGGTATTTATAGTTTATCAGGCGCTACAGTCCAGATATAATTTACCAATCTAGGGTCATTTCTGCAATAAGCAATGCTGTCTAGAAACGTAACTAACCTTCTTAACTTGATCACGGTTTCCAGGTGGAATAGAGAAGCACAGGAAAAGGTTTTGTTAACCCTTTATCTAAATGGTATAATAATAAAATGAAGGAAAATTCCTCCCAAGAAACAAGTATTGGCAGCCTTACATTATTTAAAAAGATGCTCAGTTACACTGCACCTTGCACAGTGAAAACTTCAAGACACCCACTTTGGGAATCCCCGGGACATTTTTGAGTCCCTCCTTCTTTCATTTATTTCAGCCAATTTCTAGTAACAAATGATCAATCTTTTTATAACTGTTATTATCCAGGGCAACTGGGTGGCTCAGATGGTTAAGTGTCTGCCTTCGGCTCAAGTCATGATCTCCAGGTCCTGGGATCCAGCCCCATGTGGGGCTCCCAGCTCAGCAGGGGAGTCTGCTTCTCCCTCTCCCTCTGCTTCTCCCCCTGCTTGTGCTCTCTCTCTCTCAAATGAATAAATAAAATCTTAAAAAAAAAAAAAATTTTTACTGTTATTATCCTACCCAAACACATATTAGGACAATCTTCTACCTAAAATGTGTGTTTGGCATAAACGTCTAACCTAAGAACTGCATGCTTAGGAATAACTCACATTTACTTGCTAATCTCTGAAAAGTTAAATTCACCTTTAACACTATTCTCAACATGAATAGGAGGTGACTGTCTAGATTATTCTTAGAAATGTGCCCAGTAAACACCTACATTTTAACCTTCAAGAGCAATGAAAGGAAAATTTTTGTTTTTTAAAAGTCTATACTCCAGTATAGAAGATTCTGGATATTCATACTAAATTTCCTTCCCAATAAATGGGTGTAATGCTTAGCATCCATTATTCCTTTCATAATCTAAATTAGAAAAATAAAAGCATTAGAATCATTAACAGGTGCTTAGAAAAATCAGTGATTCAATTTACACAAACATACAAGGACGTTTATAACTTTTTACATCATTTTAAATACTTAAGTTATTCTAAACTGCATAATACAAAAATAGGAGAGCTAAGTGCACTAGCCTTGAATAAGTTTAAAACTGGAAAGGAACTTAGACCATCATCAACTATGAAGCCATCCCTCACTATTTCTGGCTGGTCTTCACTGATCCTAATCTCTCTCCTCTTGCCCCTTCTAACCCATCCCCCATCTTACAGCCAAACATCCAACACACCACTCCACCTTGTCATCCAACCTCTGGGCCTACAGCATAAAATTTCAACTCAGTACAACAACAAAAAGTCTTTCATCCTCTGACCCCACCCACCTGGGCTACCCTCCTCCAGGTTCTCTGCTCCAGAGACACCAATCTGCCCCCTTTCAGGCCCTCTCCCCAGCAAACGTCTAGTCCTTCAAGACTCAAGTGGAATTTAGCTTCTCATCCAATGCTTCTTCTGTGGTCTCCAATTGTTGCCATTCCTGTTTCTATGCCTCTTCAACAACTTGCTATGGTACACACCTCCACAGTTCTTCACCTTCAATTATTGATTATTTCTGCCTTGCTCTCCACTAGAGTGAGCTCTGTGAAGGCAGGGATACGGTCTTTCCCAGTGTCCATAACCCTGACACAGCAGCACTCAACAAATTTTTGTCTGATGAATGAAATATTAACATTCCACCTGCATGTGTCAAAGGCAGGACTAGAACCCACGACTCCTCACTCCCCCCAGAATGCTCTTTCCATCATCACAACGATGCCGGGCAGTAAAGCAATCAACACAGAACATCTAGCTCACATAGGGTGAGAAGTTTGTAGCCTTACAGGGAGAGATGATGCGGGGGAGATGGGGTCGGATTACGGAGGGCACGCAATGCCGAGCTGAGGCAAAGACATACGTGAGTAGCCCAAAGTCACACAGCTATTAAGTGGAGGCGCCGCGACGTGAATCCAAGAAATCTGGCTCCAAGTCCGAGGTCTAACAGCAACCCGTTCCAGATCCCCACATTGAACCAGAGGTGTTAAGTGGAGTGTGGGCAAAACCACATTGGTGACATGAAATGGTCTCCCAAACCCCCTATTTTAAATCTCACTCCCGGACCGGAGTTTGCGGGGGAGATCTGCAGGGCCAAGGCGGGGCCGCGGGCAGACACCCACGCGACTGCTGTGCAATTAAAAAGAACAGTGTATTAAAACGCCTGCCAGAGTGGACGCTCCCTCCGTGTCCGTTGTTAGTTCAGGTCTGGGGCCGCTGCAGAGGGACACACTCAGGGCGGGGGCAGGGCAGGGGCGGATGGCGCCCCACTTGGCCAGGCATTGGCCGGCGAAAGCGCCATCCCTGGGAGGCACCGACGTCCCCGCCCCCGTGCCTCCTCGCCCGAGAGCCCGCTCGCCACCCGCGGCCTGAGGGGAGCCCACGCCGTCCCGGCCCTCACCTGCCGGCCCTATGTACTTGACTACCCCCTGGGTCTTGAACACTTCTCGGGCAGCCAGCAGCGCGTCCTCGTGGTGCGCCGTGTAGAAGTCGCCCCGGTCGAAGAGGCGCACCGTGGTGGTCGGCTTCTCCGGCATGGCCTGGAAGAAGCGCACGAAGCCGACCTCGGCCGCGCTCTCCAGCTGCAGCGTTTCCTTCGGCTGCACCGCCATTTCGGAACCTCTTCCCCGCCTGCCAGAAGGAACTGCGCGACCCCGCACCCCCTAAGCTGTTTCCCGCCTCCCTTCCCTCCCTCCCGTGCGGCGTCCGGCCTTTGCTGAGACACCCAATCACAACCACCGCTGCGTTTCGGTGGGTGGGAGTCCGCCTCGGCAGCCAATCATAGGCGGACGCGGCCCAGCTTCCCGCGCACGCTGGTAATTCTGTCTACTGCGCACGCGTAAACCTAGGTCGCGCGCCGACCCTGGCAGGCGGCCATCCTTAAAAGATTTCAGGTCCAGGTGTTTCTGCAGTGCTCGGGTGGAATCCGGGTGGAGAGGTAGTTAGGGAAGGCGGCCAGGTGGGCCGCTCTGGCGGTTTTGGGTTTAGTACTCGGAAGCATGAGAGTGAAATCAGAAAGAACCTCGAGAACAAGGAAAAACCAGCCTTTTTCCCCATCACTACATTTTTTTTTAAAACTTCACCTCCTCTCTGAGCACTGAGTAATGTATACAATCGTTGAATCACTATATTGTACCCCTGTAAGTAACATAACACTGTACGTTAATACTGGAATTAAAAAAATAAAACTGCACCCCTCTCTCCCTAACAGCCTTTCCTTTTCCTTTTTAACCAACTGCCAACATCAAGATTATAGGTTTTTCCATAACCTCCTTATTGCTCTATACTAGCCACATTCTCGTTTCCTCCACTCTGACTCATTCAAAAACATTTTTTTTTAAAGATTTTGTTTATTTATTTGACAGAAAGAGAGGGAACACAAGCAGGGCGAGTGGGAGAGGAAGACTCAGGCCTCCGGCAGAGCAGGGAGCCTGATGTGGGCCTCCATCCTAGGACGCGGGGATCACGACCTGAGCCGAAGGCAGATGCTTAACGAATGAGCCACCCAGGAGCCCACATTCAAAAACATTTATATGGCCTTCTATGTGCCAGCCTCTTCTAGAATCTGAGGATCACTAGTAATGTCAGTTTGCATTCTAGTGAATGAATTCAGATGATACAGTAAGTAAATGTATAGTAAGTAAACTGTTAGAAGATAACTGTTCAGGTGAAAAACAAAGGTAGGATGAAATTTTTTTTTAATATTGAGCAAAAACCTGCAGGTCAGGATGTGTCCTGCAGTTAGCTGCCTTAGGAATAGTATTGTGCGCTCCTGTTAAGCTCAACCTTAACCCATGGAAGCAGCCGCAACCTGGACTCAGCTGCAGAATTACCCTGGGGGGCTTTTCAAAGGTATTCCTGGGCCCCACCCACATATAAAGGCTTGGAATTTCTGAGGGTGGGGTGTTGGGATGTTTTTAAAAACCTCCTTGGGTAGTCCTGACAATCAGCTCAGTTCTGAAACCACTGGCCTGCAAGTTAAAATTCAAATACCTTGGGAAGCAGAGGAAGTGGATCATCCAACTGCAGACTACTTTGCAACAGACTTAGAGCTCCCGCAGCCTGCAGTACTTCTAGCCTCTCACTGCAGCTCTGGGATCTGGGCCAGTAAATTCCCCTTCCCTGGCACCTGGCTGGCTCAGTCCATAGAGCATAAGACTATTGATCTCTGGTCCTGAGTTCAAGCCCCATGCTGGGCCGAGAGCTTACTGAAAGATAATAATTATAATTAAAATAAATTCCCCTTCCCTTTCAACACTTGTGGCTCCAACACAAACTTGGCCCTCTTCTGGAATGGCCCTTTCCTGCTCTTTGTCTAGCAAACTGCTAGTTATCATTCTGTCTTCCAGGCCCAAATGTCTCCTCAGTCAAACCTGCCCAGTTTCCACAGGTATAATTAGTTGCATTATCTTCTGGAGTACCACCTTATTCATATTCATATTATAACAATATTCGCTGCATTGTTTTAGAGATACCTGTTCACCTCTTGGACTAAGCGCTTGGAGAGGACACCAATGGGTGTTTATAGTTAATTATAATGGCTACTGTTCATCAGCATTCATGGACTGTCAGGTGTTTTCCTTTGTTTTACATGTGTTTACTATTTTAATTTTCAAAACTCTTGGTATTAGGTACTATTGTTATTCTTATTCGACAATGAAGAAATTGAAACTTGGAGATGTGAAGAACTTGCCCAAGATTACAGAGTTGGTAGTAAGTGGTAGAGCTAGAGTTCTGTCTTGCTCCAGATTCTGTATGCTTAACCATCTGTGTGATGTCATTTTTTTAAATGTTGGTGTGTTGGTGGGGTCTGGAGCTGACAGCCAAGAAAGAATTCTTGAGATGTCTTTGGTGCAAAAAGGTGGTTTTATGAAAGCACGGGACAGGACCCGTGGGCAGAAAGAGGGATTGTGGGGGGCAACTGATTATATACCTCTGGGCTGAAGGGAGTAAAGAGAAGGGAAGTTCCCAAAGGCTTTTCATATGCTAAAGAAGACTCAGGATCCTGGAGGAATGTTATAATCTGTCTATCTCAAGCATCTGTCAATGGACTGCAGGTTATAAGGACGTTTAATTTTATCTCCGTTTCCCTCTGCCTTTGTTTCCCACATCATGTATACCATAAGGCCTGGCACCTATTGGGTGTGCAGAAAATGTAAATGAATGAACTATGGCTCACAATAACTGCTTCTATATAACTTGGCTTTGAGTGTCATCTCATCTCTCCCCTTTCCTAGTTCACATTCTAAATAGTTCAGAGGGAGGCAGCATGGTAATAATAATATCTACCTCCAGGGTTGATGTAAGGATTAAAGGAGGTAATAGCTTTGAAAATATTTTGTAATCTTGGAGCATCTGGGTAGCTCAGTCGGTTAAGTGTCTGACTCTTGATTTCTGCTTGGGTCATGGTCTCCGAGTCATGGGATCAAGCCCAGTGTTAGGTTCCATGCTCAGTGCAGAGTCTGCTCGGGATTCTCTCCTTCTCTCCCTCTGCCCCTTCCCCACCCCCACCTCCTGCATGTCTCTCCATCTCTCTCTATAAAATAAACAAAATCAGGGCGCCTGGGTGGCTCAGTTGGTTAAGCGACTGCCTTCGGCTCAGGTCGTGATCCTGGAGTCCCTGGATCGAGTTCCGCATCAGACTCCCTGCTTAGCGGGGGGTCTGCTTCTCCCTCTGATCCTCTTCCCTCTCGTGCTGTCTCTCATTCTCTCTCTCAAATAAATAAATAAAATCTTTTAAAAATAAATAAATAAATAAAATAAACAAAATCTTTATATTTTGTAATCTTTTGTAAACAGCTGAGCAAGGAACCTGATGCAGGACTGATTCTAGGATCCCAGGATCATGACCTGAGCCGAAGGCAGACGCTTAACTGACTGAGCCACCCATGCATCCCAAAAAATAAAATCTTTTTAAAAAAAGTAAGGCCTATGTATATGCTGCCTCCAACGGACTCATCGGAAATCTAGACACATGCAGATTGAAAGTGAAGGGAGGGAGATGCGTTTGTTATGCAAATAGAAGTGAAAAGAAAGCCAGGGTAGCAATACTTATACTGGACAAAATAGACTTTAAAACAAAGACTACAACAAGGGACAAAGAAGGACATTATATAATCATAAACAGAACAATCCAAGAAGATATAAAAATTATACACATTTATGCACCCAACATGGGATTACCCAAATACATAAAGTACTTAATAGTCTAGTAACAAACATAAAGGAAGTAATTGATAGTAATACAATAGTAGTGGACCTTAACACCCCACTTACATCAATGGACTGATCATTCACACGAAAATCAACAAGGAAACAGTGGATTTGAATGACACATTGGACCAGATGGATTTAACAGATATATTCAGAACATTCCATCCTAAAACAGCAGAATACATATTCTTTTTAAGTGAACATGGAACATTTTCCAAAGTAGATCAAATATTAGGCCACAAAACAAACTCAACAAATTCAAGAAGATTGAAGTCATACCATGCATCTTTAAGATTTTATTTATTTGAGAGAGAGAGAGAGAGAGCATGAGTGGGATGAGGGGCAGAGGGAGAAGCAGAGTCCTCGCTGAGCAGGGAGCCCGATGTGGGGCTCAATCCCAGGCTCCTAAGATCCAAAGGCAGCTGCTTAACCAACTGAGCCACCCAGGTGCCCCCCATGCATCTTTTCTGACCACAATACCATGAAACTAGGAATCAACCACAAGGAAAAAATCTGGAAAGAGGACAAATACAAGGAGGGTAAATAACATACTACTAAACAATGAAATCAAGAAATCAAAGAGGAAACCAAAAAATACATAGAGACAAACAGAAATGAAAACACAATGGTACAAAATCTTTAGGATGCAGCCAAAGATGTCTAAGAGGGATATTTATAGCAATACAAGCCTATCACAAGAAGCAAAAAAAATCTCAAACAACCTAACCTTACACCTAGTGGAGCTAGAAAAAAAAAAAAAGAACAAACAAAACCTAAAACCAGGAGAAGGGAGGAAATAATAAAGATTAGAGCAGAAATAAATGAAATGGAAACTGAAAAAAACAATAGAACGGATTAATGAAACCAAGAGCTAGTTCTATGAAAAGATCAACAAAATTGATAAACCATTAGCCAGACTCATCAGAAAAAGAAAGATAACTCAAACAAAATCAGAAATGAGAGAGGAGAAATAACTGACACCACAGAAATACAAAGGATTATGAGAGAATATTATGAAAAATTATATGCCAGCAAATTGGACAACCTAAAAGAAATAGATAAATTCCTAGAAATATATAACCTCCCCAGACTGAATCAGGACGAGATAGAAAATTTGGACAGACTGATTACCAGCAATGAAATTGAATCAGTAATCAAAAACTCCCAACTTGGGCACCTGGCTGGCTCAGTGAGCAGAGCATGTGACTCTTGATCTCAGGGTTTGAATTAAAGCTTTACACTGGTTGTGGAGCCTACATTAAAAAACAAAACAAAACAAAACAACTCTCCCAACAAATAAAAGTCCAGAACCATACAGTTTCACAGGTGAATTCTACAAAACATTTAAAGAGTTAATACCTATTCTTCTCAAACTATTCCAAAAAGTAGAAGAGGAAGGAAAACTTCCAAATACAGTCTATGAGGCCAGCATTACCCAGAAACCAAAACCAGATAAAGGCACTACAAAAAA